CATGGGCTTCTCCAGGCAAGAATCCTAGAGTGAGTTGTCATTTCCTTCTCCAGAGGATCTTCCCAGACCAAAAAAAAGGACCAAACCTGTATCTCCTGCATTGGCGTATTTTTAAACCACTGAGCTACCAAAATAGCTACATAAGCCTTCCTAAATAATAATTAAAAAAAAAAAACAGAATACACAACTCATATACATATAAAGTATACGTAATTATATATTGTCAGTCAAGACCAAATGTATCAGTCTTGTCAGTAAAGGTGAATGACCTTAACTCGTCTATTGAAAGAAAAAGATTTTCAATTTGACTCACAAAGTAAGACCTATGCATAGGCATACCATGTTTTATTGTGCTTCACTTGTTTTATTTTTTAATTTTTTACAAACTCATGGTTTGTGGCAACTCTGCATCAAGCCACGTCTACCAGCACAATTTTTCCAACAGCACTTGCTCACTTCATGTCTCAGGGTCACATTTTGGTAATTCTCAAACTTAGAAGTATTTCAAACTTCTAAATTATTATTAAAACTAGTGGATGAGGAGTTGCTTTTTTGAGTGAGTAAAGAAAGCGGTTTCTTGAGATCGAATATACTACTGGTAACGATGTTGTGAACTTTGTCGAAATGACAGCAAAAGTGCTGGAGAAGACTCTGGAGAGTCCCTTGGACAGCATGGAGATCAAATCAGTCAGTCCTAAGGGAAATCAACCCTGAATATTCATTGGAAGGACTGACACTGAAGCTCCAATACTTTGGCCACCTGATGCGAAGAGCTGGCTCATTGGAAAAGACCCCGATGCTAGGAAAGATTGGGAGCAGAAGGAGAAGAGGGTGTCAGAGGATGAGATGGCTGGATGGCATCATGATGCAATGGACATGAACTTCAGCAAACTTTGGGAAATGGTGAGGGACAAGGAGGCCTGGCATGCCACAGCCCATGGGGTCACAGAGTCAGACATGACTGAGCAACTGATCAACAGTAAACATAGTTGCTAAAGCAGCAGCGGAATTTAAGAGGATTGACTCCAACTTTGAAAGAAGTTCTACTCTGGGTAAAAATGCTATCCAACAGCCCTGCATGCTACAGAGAGATCACTTGTGAAAAGAAGAGTCAATCGATGGCCGCAAACTTCATTCTTGTCTTATTCTAAGAAATTGCCACAGCCGCCCCAACCTTCGGCCACCACCACCCCGATCAGTCAGCAGCCATCAACATCGCAGCAAGACCTTCCCCTGACAAAAAGACTACGACTCACTGAAGACTCAGACGATGGTTAGCATTCTTCAGCAATGAACTATTTTTAATTAATGTGTATACCTTTTCTTGGACCTACTGGTATTGTTCATTTAGTAGACTATAGTGTAAACATAACTTTTATATTTGCCGGGAAACCGAAAAATTCATGTGGCTCACTGTGCTGTGATGCTCAGTTTGTGCCGGTAGTCTGGAGCTCAACCTCCAACATCTCTGAGATGTGTTTATCTATTCTGTACTTAAGAGACACACCCAAGACAAGGTGACTCACAAAGGCTATAAATGAAGACAGAGTAGCCTTCCACATGCATTAAGGATGACAAAGGATAATACTTTTTAATGTTAAGACCACAATTCACAGTGAAGATTTAACACACACACAAATGTATGCAGCAAATAACACAGCAATAATCTTTATGAAGGAAAAAACTGCAGACAAAGAAAGGGGACATAGAAATAAACCAACAATAAGAACTTTACTAAACACATTTATCAATAAAAGTGCAGGAATGAAAACAATTACATTCCTTGTTCAGAAAAATAATAACAGCAACAAAATGAACTAAAAGACAGCTCAAGGAAGGAAATAATAAAAAGCAGAAAGTAATGAAGTAGAGAACTGGGTTTTTTTTTTTAAATAATAAATTAAAATTCTAGGTTTTTCAAAATAAAAATAGGCAAATCACCAGATGATCAAGGAGGGGGGAAAAAAATGAAGTTGGGTGGTAAAGAACATACAAATAACAAAATAAGAAATTACAAAGGGGAAATAACCATTGGAGCAGAAGACATTTTTTAAAATCATAAGAGATTACTTTGCAATCCTCTTTGCATATAAATTTGAAAACCTAGATGAAATGAATATTTTCCTAGGGAAATGGAGATTGCTAAAACTGACCCCATTTGACTTAGAAAGCTTAAGCAGGCCAGTTTCCACAGAAGAAACAGACAAAGTTACTGAAGAACAACCTCACAATAAAGCATCAGGCCCTGATGGCTTCTCAGAGGAATTCTACCAAACCTCTGAGACCAGATAAGATAGGCCCAGTGCCCCATAAATTATTACAGATTATTGACAAGGGAGGAAACTTTGCTAATTCATTATCTGAAACACATAGTATTGAAACCTAAACCAAATAGACAATGCCAAGAAAGAAAACTACAGATTAATATCACTCATGCATATTGATGCCAAAATACCAAATAAAATATCAGCAAACTCAAATCTAAAATATTAGAATCCAAAATCATATTAAGAAGGTAATATACCATGTCCAAGTAAGATTTAGTCCAGGAATAAAAGGAAGATTGATTTAATGCTAAGGAAGCAATTAATATCACACACCATATTAATAGTCCAAACAAAGTAAATCATAAAATTATCTCCATAGATGTGGAAAAAGTCTTTGAAAAATTCAACATTCATTCACTATAAAAATTAATCAAGTAAATGGAAATTAAAGGATATTTTTTTAAATAGGTGTGTGCATAAAAGTTTTAAAATTAAACAGTGGTGGGTGGAAAAGGCATAGAAAAAGGTGAGGAATTAAGAAGTAAGGAGAAGGAAGAACACCTTTTCTGAGTATTTATCTTTAGTTGCTCTGACTGAGAGCCACAGTAGTGTTTCACAGAGCACCCAAGACAAATAGTTACTTTTTTGTGGGTGGAACCAAATGTAATACAAATAGTAATGAATGAACTTAACTGTATTACAAATGCATAATGCAATCATTCTGAAAAGAATGGGAAAGAAAAGAGCTAACAAAAGTGAATTTCAGGAAGCGGTGTGTTGACTGAACATTGCAAAGCTCAAAACATGTTCCATATCGTACTGAAATTCCTAGAGAGTATAATAAGGCAAGAAAAAGTGAAAATATTAAGATTATAAAGGAAGAATTAAAAACTGTCTTCATTCATAAACAACATGATTGACTACATAGAAAATCCTAAGAAATCTACAAAAAAAAAATTACTAAGTGAATTTAGTAAGGTCACAGGATAGAAAGACAATAAAAAATCTTTGGTATTTTTTTATACCAACAACAAACAATTGGTAAATTTTTATATTCTGCTTTTCACAAAATGTAATTTAAAAATGAAAAGGTAAGTGACAGACTTGGAGAAGATAATCATAATTCTTTTGTTTCATAAAGGGTTTGTATCCCAAATATATTAAAAATTCTCACAACTCAATAAAAAGGAGCTAACCCAACTGAAAATGGGCAAGAACACAGGAGGCACCTCACAAAAGAAGATGTTGATATGTAGGGAATTCCTTGATGGTCCAGTGATCGGGATTCCTTGCTTTCACTGCTGAGGACCTGGGTTCAGTCCTTGGTTGGGGAACTGAGATCCTGCAAGTCACAACATGGGCAAAAAATAAATAAATAAATAAATAAAAATTTTTAAATAAACAATAAAAAGATTTATGAATGGACAATAAAGATATGTGAAGATACTTCACATTGTTAGTCATCAGGGAAATACAAATTAAAAACATAATGATATAACACTTCATACCCACTATAATGACTAAATTTAAAAGACTGACAACATCAAGTGTTGACAAGGATGTGGAGCCCCTGAAACTCTCAATTGTTGCTGGTAGGAATGTAAAATGACAGAGTCACTTGGGAAATCCGTTTGGCATTTCTTAGAAAATTAAACATATGATTCCCATATGACCTGGTAATTCCCCTCCTAGATAGGATGAACAAAGCTAATCTAAGGTGAAAAAAAAAAAAAAAGATCAGTTGTTGCCCAGTACAAAGACAGGGAATGAGGGTGGGGAGACTGAGAGGGGAACCAGAGGGTGGAGGAAATGTTCTCTGTCTTCACTGCAGTGATGGTTATCTGGGCGCCTCCACTTTTCAAAGCTCATTGAATTATACACTTAAAATAAACACTTATGATAGGTAAATTAGCCTTTAATAAGGCTGTTTTTTAAGGTAGAAGATAATCAGGATAAGTGTCTCTTGAACACTTACCTTTTTAAGTGCTTTCCATATTTTCGCATCATCCCACTGAACTCTGCCAACTGCCTTATTAGGTAGGAATCCCTTGTTCCCATTTTCTAGCTGAGGAGACAAGGGTAGAGCTCACAGTAAAGAATGCGGATTTGAACCCTTGGCCACCGTGCTGCAGGGCTAGAACATCGGACTCCCATCCTTGACAGTAATAAAGCCCATCCTGAGGCTGTGCTATCAAGCCCCCTATTGGGAGCAGTCAAGAGAAGTGAGTGTGGACCTGGGAGATGAGAAGCTCAGAGGAGAAGGTGGTCTGGGTGGACCATCATTTGTCCAAGCCCTGACTCCTAATTACTTACATAGGAGTCATTGGTCCTTCTGTCACCCTAGACTGACTGAATTAGGATCTCTCGGTGGGCCTAAGAACCTGCAGTTTAATAAGAATGCCTCCCACCACCACCTCTCCTCACCTACCCCAGTAAGAATAGAGTCATGTCTATGCAGAGGAGGGTCTGGGTGTCAGACTAACCTGGGCTTGAATCTTGACCCTTCCAGATACTTGCTTTCTTTTCTCTGCCTCATCTTGCTCATCTGTACAATGGCTATCCTCGTAGAACCAGGAGCATGGGGTGGCTGTGAGATATACGTGATTCAAGGAAGAATTCAGCACAGTACCTGGCACAAAAGAAACATTTAGTCCATTTTAGATGAACAATTTAGATAGCAATTGAATGAGGCACTGAACTCCACACAGCCCCTTCTCTCTGCTTCCTCTCCAGGCCCTGGCCTGGCCTTTATCGCCTACCCCAAGGCTGTCACCATGATGCCTCTCTCCCCTCTCTGGGCCGCCCTGTTCTTCATGATGCTCATCTTCCTGGGCCTGGACAGCCAGGTAAGCGGGGACCCCAGGCGGCAGTGGCAGCGGGGGGCAGGTGCTGCTCCCAGGAACAGATCTGGGGCCTGCACACCACATCCTGGTTCTGGCCAGTTGGGACCAACCAGGTCATAAAAGACCTGGGAACACAGAAAAGCATCTGCTTCCTTCCTTGATCTCCACATCGGGGCCCCCATGACATGCCCCAGGTGGCCACCTGGGTGGGTCGTGGGTACCACCACCAGCTCCCGCTACCCCCACATCCACACCCCACCCCCACCCGCCTCTGTTCTCCTGCCTCTCCCAGACCCACCCCAACTTGCAGCCTGCCTTCCTCCGTGAAGGATGTGGAGTTAGAACTAACAATTTATGTGTTCACATTTTCCTTTCTGTTAACGCAAATGTGTGCACTTACATCTTTTCGCCCCCGCCCACTCTCCCACCCTCTTTCAATCCCCTCTCTGGTTTTCCTGCTGGAATACTGTGGCCTCCAGTCTCTCTTCTTCTCCAGAAATCAACCCTTGGCCCTGCTGCTGTACTGTGGCTGGCCTTCCTAAGAGCCCCAGAGAAGGTCTTCCAGCCAAAGCCAGGCGCTCTGAGGCCCTCAGACAGGGGTGTCTTGGCGAGGTGCTCCCTGCCACCCTACCTGTGACCTTGAGCGAGTCACGCAGCATCCAGGCCCCGTGGCTGGTGTGTCTGTCAATCCAGCCAAGTCCTATTTCTTCCCCTGGATGGTTTCTCAGAAACTGCTAAGCTGAGCTGCAGAAGCAACCGGGTGTTTTTGCTGATAACCGTCCCTCCATTGTCACGGCAGAGGCCTCAGGAGGGATCAGCAGCTTGTGTGACAGTGACAGGCCTGTCTCCGCAGAGGGGTGTGGGGGCCGGGCCTGGGCTCTGCGAGCCCCTGGGCTGAGCCAGACCAGCACTAGGGCTGAGATACTCTGTTTGCAAAGGGCACCTAGGGCCCCAGGGCGGAGGGTGGCTGCTCAGACCATCCCCAAGTGTGCCTGGGCTGTGTCCTCAGTTTTCAATCATGATAACCATATGGCCTGGAGTGGGGGGGCGGGGCTTTCTGTTATCCCCATTTTACAGAGGAAGAAACTGAGGCTCAGAAAGGCCAAGTGACTTGAAGGGATATGCACCCAGGTCTCTGCACTGTGTAGACCATCTGCTCTGATGCCTCTTCAGTTTAAGTGCTGGGTCAACAGCGTCCCCTGAGTCCCCTTCCTTTACCTGGGGACCCTAGAGAAAGGACGAGCACAGCTAGTCTTCCCCTAGAGACAAGACAGCCTGGAGGCCAGGAGCCTGAGCGTTGGAGTCTAGACTGAGTTTAAGTCCCAACTCTCGCCAGCTGTGTGACTCTGGGCTGTGCTGCAGTCCCTTTCCACAATGAGGATGGAAATACCTTCCCTGGGGAGATAGACATGGACCAGAAAGGACATGGAGCCAAGCAGTGGCTCCAGGGATGGGGGTGCCCCCAAATAATGACCTCCCAGTGCCCCACGGTAGTGACAGCCCAGCCTCTGGAACAAGATTGCCCAGTTCAAATTCAGGCCCTAAAATGTTAGACCTTTGTGACCTCAGGGCAAGTTACTTACACCACTATACTTCTGTGTCTTCTTTACAAAAAAGGGGCAATGGTAGAACTTAATACATAGAGATTAAATAAATTAACATCTGTTAACTACATAGAACTGAGCCTGGCACACAACAAGCACTGTGTGTTCACCACTGTTGTTATTATTCATTTATCAAACATTTTCTGAGCATCTGCTCTGTGCCACTTGAAGTAGATGTCAGTGACATGGCCCCTGCCTTCCAGGGTCTCACCTTTTTGTAAGGAGACAGATCTGAGCAAGCATGGATCCCACAGATGAGGGGTATGGACTGAGCCTGGAATAGGGGCTGGGGTCTGTTCTGCTCAAGTTGAGGGCAAGAAGAAGCAGTCAGGAAAAGGCTTATGCAGGAGATCTGCCCACAGTGCTGGGAGAACTCGGGGAGGGGGTGTGGGATATGCTGAGCTGTTGGGTCTGGGTGTTGAGGGTTGAGTAGGAATGTGGCTGATCTCACACCTGGCCCTGTCTCAGCATGGTGGGGCACACATGCATAGTGGCTCAAGCTCTGCCATCTGAATTTGCCCAGCCCAAACACAAGAGCTGGGCATTAGCTCCCCTGATTGCCCTACCCCCAGCAGAAGGCCACCCGCCCACCTGAAGCAAAGGGCAGGGGCTCTGTCTCAGGCCTGAAGAATGAAGTAAGTCAGGCCCCCACAGACTGACCAGAGCCCTCAGCTCTCAAGACAGTTACCCAGACTGCCATCTCGCTTCCCAGGCCAAGACTGGATCTCATTTATTTCATCCACCCCAGAACAAGGCCCAGCACATGGGCACATGACTGGCAGCATAAAGAAGAAGGAATTCTAGCTTTAGAGTCAGGAGACCTCACCTCAAGGCCTGACTCTGCTGCTTCCTTGCTGAGAGACTTTGGGCTGGTCACCTCCCCTCTCTGAGCCTCAGGGTCCTCTTGTGTTGAATGGGCCTGCTGGCATTCTGTAAGCACGGGGGATACTGTTGTTATTCTTGGGTCCTCCATCAGGGTGAGGAAGTGTGGGAATGAAGGTGAGGCCCGGCGGGGAGGGAAGCCCAGGCTTTAGGGCAGCTGTGCCTGCCTGGAGCCAGGGCCTCTGATGGCCTTTTTCTGGAGCTTCGCACCATCATTTCTGCCCCGTCCAGTTTGTGTGCGTGGAGAGCCTGGTGACTGCCGTGGTAGACATGTACCCCAAGGTCTTTCGGAGGGGCTATCGGCGGGAACTGCTCATCCTGGCCCTGTCGGTCACCTCCTACTTTCTGGGCCTTGTGATGTTAACAGAGGTGAGTGATAGCCACACGGGTAAGTGATGTGGACAGGGTAACATGAGGGGTAAGTGCCTGGGCTTTGGTGGCGCTAGTGGTAAAGAACCTGCCTGCCAGTGCAGGAGACGTGAGACGAGAGTTTGATCCCTGGGTTGGGAAGATCCCCTGAAGGCGGACATGGCAACCCACTCCAATATTCTTGCCTGGGGAATCCCATGGACAGAGCAGCCTGGTGGACTACAGTCCATGAGGCTGTGAAGAGTCGGACACGACTGAAGTGACTTAGCATGGACACGTTTGGGTTAGGCGGATCTGACATCATGTCCCAGCTCTGACCTTGACTGGCTGGGTGACCCTGCCTCCAGGTCCAGCACTTGTCGGGGACTCTGTGTTCTCGTGTTTGTAATGGGTCATCGTGAGACTCCATGGAAGTTCTCATTCAGCACTTGTATAAGTGCTCAGCTCCAAGTCTCCATCACCAGAAGGAATAAAACTCACAATGAGAAAGGCTGGGTTTACCTGGTCATTATGAGCATCCGTGGCAACCCACTGCAGTATTCTTGCCTGGAGAATCCCCATGGACAGAGGAGCCTGGCAGGCTACAGTCCATGGGGTCGCAGAGAGTCAGACACCACTGAGCAACTAAGCCCATGAGCACCCAGATGCCCCGCTACCCTCTTCAGTAAAACTTCTGAGTGAAGGAGGCAGTGTCTGCCGGATAACCCTCAGCTAGGGACTTTCAGTGTCCTCAAGTTCAGAACAGGCTTCGTCACTGAGGAACCTGGACACCTTCAGGCGGTGTTCCAGCTCCCACCTTCTGCATGTCCCCTCTTGTCTCTGCCAGGCCTGTGGGCAGGGAGGGGCTCATCACACCCCCAAATTCAGACTGTCTCATAAAGCCATGATTCCCTTCCCTCCCGTAGCATCCTAATAGATACTTTCTTAAGTAACTTGGGAAGGTGAAATTAGGTATCTTTTTACCCACACTCACAAAATTAATTAATTTTACAAACCAAGCCACTCTCCCCCTCCAAATAACCAGAAAACTGTTGCCAGGAGACACAAAGGGGTTTTGTAAGGAACATGGGAAAAGTGAGGGAATTCAGAATCTGTCAAAGCAGCTGATGTGGTACTGAGGTCAGACTGCTGATCTTCGTCATTCTCTGCCTCTCAACTCAAAAAAGCCACCTCCTCCTGGAAGCCTCCTCTGCTTTCCTTCCCACCCAGGACTTCATTCTAAGCTTGGTCCAGTCTCCATCTGGACATTACAGTGACCTGTCTGTTCACCTGCCCCACCAGGCCCCAAAGTCCTCAAGAACAGGAGCCGGCCTTGATCTGTCCTGTGCCCTTGGGGCCTGGCCCGGGGTGTATAATTCCTGCTCCTAGTCATTGTCACATTAATGGGAGTGATAATCAGCATTTGAGCAAATGAATGGTGCCACATTTCCCCCTGCCTTTCTCCACACAGCCAGTGAGCAGGGCCTCATTAAGTGCTGATTAATTACACAAAGTAGAGCCTTTTGTCATGCACAAATTGGGGGGTTACCTGATGCCTTCAAGAGGCTGGTGGGGCTCCAGGAAAAGCAGGCATTCGTGGGCATTCTCGGCTTGCAGCAGGCAGGTCGCCGGAGAGCTCTCCTGGATGCCAGCTGGCCAGCCCTGGTACCATGGATCACAGAGCCCATCAGGGAGCCAGCGCTCTGCCTGCCCTGGATGGGGAATCAGCACACACTCAGGCCCCATACACCCACCTTTGCCCTGTGCGGAGGCATGTCTATGAGTGACCACAACGGGAACCTGCCAAATGGGCCATAGCAGATTCAGTAATTGCTCAGAGGATCTTCTCCCTCATTTAAACACATTTAAAGCTCTGCTCTTGGGAAAAAATAGTCTGCAAATATCTGCTCTTCCACGGAGGTGAGGCGGTGGGTGGGGAAGGTCTCAGGCCCTGCAGCTGGACGCTTGGGCCCGGTCCTCAGGCCCACGGCGGGTGACCTCTGGTGACTGGTGGGGCGTGTTCTCACCACCCCTGGCCTCGGCTTCCCCGCGTGAGCACTGAGGACACCAGTAGCCCTGGCCTCATGACCACACGAGGCAGGACCTACGCACGCTGCGGTGTGGACACGTAGGAGAGGGTGAGGCTAGAGGCAGGGAGGCCCGTGGGGAGGCTGTCACAGCCTCCTGGAGGGAGGTGCTGAGCCTGCCCGGCCTCCAGGCTCCAGTTTTCTGTTGTGTCTAGCATCCAGGAAGCAGAGGCAAGACAAACCCCTGCGATCCCAGCAGCCCGTTAGCGTGGTCTCAGGGGGCCCAGCCGTGGTGGGTGTGGCGTTCAGAATGCTGGAGAGACCAGTCTGCCCTAGTGGCCAGGACTCCAGGGTGGTAGGTGACCACAGGGCGGGGCGCCCTCGCCGAGAGCTGGCTAACCCTGCTCTCCCATATGTCTGTCTGTCCCTCTTCCCCATGTCTGGCCTCCCACCCCGCAGGGCGGTATGTACATCTTCCAGCTCTTTGACTCCTACGCCGCCAGCGGAATGTGCCTTCTCTTTGTGGCCATCTTCGAGTGCATCTGCATCGGCTGGGTGTATGGTGAGTGGAGGCCGAGCCCACCACCCCACAGTGCCCGGAACCTGGGTGGGCTGGGCTTCCCTGTAGCCCGTCTCCATCTCCATCAACCTCTTACCCTCAGGCACATCTTGGGTTCTCCCACCTGTTGGGAGACCCTACTGCTTGTATACCCTTTTGCAGTACAGGGAGGGGTTCCAGGCTCAGGCACTGTAACCTTGGGTCCATCCTTCTGCCCCCGAGGCTCAGTTTTCCCATCTGTATAATGGAGTAGTCGTCACCGTGGCTCCTGGTAGGAGGGGGTAGAGACACACCAGCCAGCCCAGTGACCGGCCCTCAGCACCCGCCTTTCGGCCTTCCTGTTCCCCAGACTGAGTAAGCGGATGAGAGTTGCTGGGCTTGTGAATAGACCCCCACCAGCCCTAAAATCTGAGCCCCAACCCCCACCCCACCCAGGCAGGTCAGCCAGCCTGACCCCGCTCAGAGCAACCACCTTCCGCCTTTTCCCCAGAAGCTCCTGACTGTGTCCTGGGCCTTACTGCCTGAGTCAGGAGGGGTCTCTTCAGAGTCTCTTCCACCACAGTTTATCCTAATGCTGCACATAGCTAACACCCTGGTAGTTTTTAAGCAGCAAGTAGGGTCCCTGCCACAACTTGTCTCCAGCTGAGGATAGCAGACACTCATCGCCTTTCCTCTGAGTCTTGTACAGAAATTCTCTGGGGTGTGTGTGCCCATCTGCTTTATTCTGGACAGGAAGCAACCGCTTCTATGATAACATCGAAGACATGATTGGCTACCGGCCGCTGTCACTCATTAAATGGTGCTGGAAAGTCGTGACCCCCGGGATCTGTGCGGTAAGGGTGATGCCAGGAGCCACCTGCAGCCCACCACTCCCCTACTTCTCCACCCCCCGCCCACTTCTCCACCCCAGAGCCCAGGCCTGACTGAGGCCAAAACTGAGGAGGTGATGTCCCCCTGGGGGACCCTCTGTGCACTCAGAAGTCCAAGCCAACTGACACCTTTCCAAGCCAGTGTTTTTTTGGGGAACAGTCTCTGGGCTGGGCCAGGAGGCCTCACTAGGACCCCGGTCATGCCACCAGCTTGCTATGTGACAGTGAGCAAGTCACCTCTCTTCCTGGGACCTCAGATTCTAAACCCGCAGCCCGGGCAGATGGCACCCACCTCCATGGGGGCTGAGGGTCACATGAAAGACATCTGGCTCTGCTGTTAACAGTGAAGCAACAGCTTGAGGGTAAGGAGAGGCTCACGCTCTGCCCCTCAGACCAAACTGCGGAGCGGCCTTGGTGAAAGGATGTTTAATTAAAGAAACCAAACCGCTGCTCTTCACCCAGTCCTTGGCACTGGAAGTATCTCAGAGCATCTTCACCAACCATCTTAGTTTTGAAAGTCAGCTTTGAAACCAGCCCTGAGAAGTAGCTGGGAAAAAAAAAGTTAAAATTTCTGACTATTTGGAGGCTGGAGATCAGGCTCCTAGGGGGTCGAGGAGGGTCTCCTGGGACCTGTGGGGTCTGTTCCCTGTGCTTCTCGCTGTGGACAGGCAGGATGCCACCTCTCCGAGGCCACCGCACAGGGTCGACCATCTCCCCTACCGGCTACCCGCAGCCAGGCTGAGGGCCATCCCAGGGACCTCTCCCCATCTCTCTACAGGGCATCTTCATTTTCTTCCTGGTCAAATACAAGCCCCTCAAGTACAACAACGTGTACACCTACCCTCCCTGGGGCTATGGCATCGGCTGGCTGATGGCCCTGTCCTCCATGCTCTGCATCCCGGTCTGGGTCTGCATCAAGGTGTGGAAGACAGAGGGGACACTGCCAGAGGTGAGCAGCCTGGGAGGAGAGGTCAGTGAGGGTGGCTGGGAAGTGGGGCGGGGTGGGGGGGAGTGTGACACAGGGCAGGGCTGGCTATGCTAAAGGGCTGTGCTGGTGAGTGTGAGTGTGGCCACAGGAGTCTCTGGGCCCCCGCTTCCCCATCTGGGCCACGGGTGTGATGAGAACGTACCCCAACGTGTCTCCTGGGGAAGGCTGGCCAGCTCCTCCATGGCAGGGGTTCATCAGTAGTGTTGTGCTGAGGCCCGGAGATTGAGCTGCTTCCCCTGAGTTCAGCCTCGGTTTTCCCATCTGTAAAATGGGTCAGCAGTAGTCCCTCACTTACAGAGGTTGTTTGAGGACTCAGTGAGTGCATAGAGGGACAGCACTTGAGCCAGGACTTGGGGGAGAGAGGGGCCAAGTGTCGGCTCTTGGTGTTCTGTTGATCCCGTTCATTAAGGACCCTGTTTCCAGGGCACAGGGAGAGAGTCTGACACCTGGGGGCATCTGTCCTGTGCCGTCCTCGTGCAGAGCTCTCTCTGTTCTGCATCTCCTCCGTCCTCAGAGAAATTCAATCACTCGCCTAGGATCAGACCACCAAGAATTAGCAAACTGACCATTTTCAACAATTTTATTGAAATATGTTTTCTGTATCATAAAATTCACCCATTTCTGATATAATTCAGTGGCGTATTTTTTGTAGCAATGTTCTGTGTCATGCTGTCATCACCATAAATCCATTTGCAAACATTTTTATTTATTTATTTGCATATATTCTTATTTATTCATAAGATTCCCAGTGCCTGTTTCCGTAAGCCCTGTCCTAAGCCCCAGACACCCAGAAATCTCTGTGTATATGCTTCTTCTGGGCATTTTCCTGCCAATGAAATCGTGCTGTCCATGTTCTCCTGCTTGTTTAGTGAATTTGGGCCCCGGCCCGTCACAGCCTAGACACCCTGTCTCTCTTCACGCTCCTTTCCCACCTGCTGGGGGATCAGGAGGTCTGAGTCAGCTTCACGCCCCTTTTGCTAACCGCGTGCTCTGTGCCAAAAGCTGCTGTAAGCCGTCGACAGTCAGTAGGCTGCCAAGTCCTCATAGCTGTCCTGTGAGGTGGAGGTGCTTCCTGTCCCCATGTCACAGGTGAGGAAGCTGAGCAGAGAGGGGAAGCCAGTTACCCCAGGGCACGCAGCCTTGGCGTGCTGGAGCAGGCCCCCTGAGGCTGGGCCTTCGTGCCGCATACCCCTTGCCTGGCTCCGGCCCCAGTGCAGCACCCGGGGTTCTCGGGGCTGAGCTGTGTCTCACAGACATGGCCTGTGTGCCGATGCCCCCCAAGGCACGCGCCAGCCCAGAGTCAGCTCCAGCCAGCCCTCCTGTCCACCCAGGGGAGAGCTAGGACCCAGCCAGGTCCCGGGAGCAAGCCGAGAGGGAAGGTCCCTTTCTCCAGCCTGCTCCTGCCCCCAGAGCAAGGCCGAGTCCTCCGCTCCTGCAGGGAATGTAGGACAAGGGCAGTTGTTGATTCTGACTTGGGACCAGGCGTGTCCAGAGGAGAGCTGCCCTGGAGCCCAAATACCTTGGCCCCGGCTGATCCCTGCCAGTGAGTTCATGTCCCTCCATTTCCAGAAGGGCTTCCCAGGTGGCGCTAGTGGTAAAGAACCTGCCTGCCAGTGCAGGAAATGTAAGTGATGCGGGTTCTATTCCTGGGTTGGGAAGATCCCCTGGAAAGGGAAATGGCAACACACTCCAGTATTCTTGCCTGGGAGAATCCTATAGACAGAGGAGCCTAGCGGGCTACAAGCCTGTAGGGTGTCAAGAGTCGGACATGACTGAAGACACATGCAGGCATTTCCAGAAGGTTCTACCAGCTGATGGGAAGGATCTGGAAGGAAAGATGGGGGTCAGAGAGTTGCTCTGAGGGCAGGTAGTCTGTGCTAAGAGCCATGCACAGGTCAGCAAATCTGAGGACACCTCAGGAAAATGACGCTCGAGGCAGGTGCTGCTGTGAACCTCTTTGACAGATGAGGGACCAAGATGCAGAGGGTTAAGTTCTTGCCTCAGTGAAGCAGTGGAGCTGGGAGTCCAGCCCAGGCACTCGGCTCCAGAGCCCATGCTCCCAGCTCCTGTCCTCTGTCAAGATCCTAGCGCCTTGCCTGGCACCTAGGAGATGCTCAGCATGATGATATTATGGGGGAAGAGGGGCGTCCTGCCTGTTAATCCCTCTTGGGCAGAATAGGCCCAGCCTATTAGGCGTGGCAGGATCTGACCATGGAAACAGGACCTTGATCGTAAGAAACCAGCACGCCAAAGTCCTTCCAGCCTTCTTGGGGAAAGGACCCAGGAAGGACCTCCCACATCCTGGCCTGACATCTTCTGGAGGTGCACATGAGGCTGAGGTGGGGGTGGGGGGGGGAGGTGCCCAGGCAGGATCAAGGGGGCAGGAGCATGTGTCAGGGGTAGAGTAGATGATGGCCACCCCATGCGCCCAGCACCCTGTCTGCCAGCCACTCTGTGGGGTTGAGGCCTTAGCAAGAACGTTTCCATCTTCAGACACACACCTCCTATTCCCTAGACGGGGATGACGGGCATGATGATGGCCTTCTATGGGAAACATACCCATTTATGCAGAGACCACTGTATAGACAGCCCTGGAGGTGCTCACCCTCACATCAGAGTCCCCAGGAGGAACTGCTGGCCCATCTCACAGGTGGGATAGCACGGCGCGGTGGCGTTAGGCGACTGGCCTCACACGTATTAAGGCCAAGCAGGGACTCAGAGCCCAGCGTCAGCCTGCCCAGGAAGGAAGGATGCGGCCTGGGCACAGCTCCTGCTGCCTGGCCTCCTGCAGCGGGCCAGGTACAGGGCGGGCAGCTCCGCTCATCGTCTCCTTCCTCACCCAGCGCTGGCACCCTGAGGTTCCCATGTCCGGGGGTGGGGGCGGGAAACAGATCTCCAGGCCGACGCATCGCCCAGGGCAGAGCTCCAAGCCCGGCCTGCCGTTTCCACAGCACCCCCCACCCCCCGAGGTGTCCGCCGTGCAGTTGGGAGGCGCCGAGGCAGGCCCCCCGGGGACCCCAACAACCGCTCTTCTCAGACAACTCTTTTCCTCTCCAACCATGTAGAGATTCCGCAAGTTGATGATCCCCAGCGCCGACCTGAAAATGCGGGGCACGCTTGGGGCAGGCCCACGGACGGTGGCGGTTAATGACTGTGACGCCAAACTCAAGGGCGATGGGACCGTGGCGGCCATTACAGAGAAGGAGACGCACTTCTGAGCGCCCCGCCGCCTCGATGGCCCTCCTCCTGCTCCTCGCCCCTGCCGTCCACCGCCCTGTGTACAAATGAGTACCTGAACCGCGTACTGCACCTAGTGGTAGAGGCTTGCTCGTTTCTGGGTTTTGTTTGTTTGTTTGTTTTTTGCACAGGATTTATTAACAAGTTAATTTTAAGGTGGCCGTGCCCACTCTGGTTTCAAGTCATGCCCCCTCCTCCTCCCACCCCCCAACTGCCATGTGAGTAACGATGCGAAGAGATAACCCTATACAGGGACTTCTCATGTGAGAAGGGTGTAACCAGCATTCCCTCGGGGTTAGGAAGAACCTGTACCACAGGACCGGACTTTTTATCCTCGGGCTGTGGGGTGAGCAGGTGGGAGCGACGTCTGCCTCCTCTGTCAGCCTCTGAACCGACCTGTCCGTGCCCCGCATCAGTCCAGTCTGTCTGTCTCCACGCCACCAGGCTTCCCCTGAAGCCCCTCCCTTGCCCGTCCTCCCGGGCTTCCCGGAGGTGGTGGGTTTGCAGACAGTGAGGTTATGTCAGAGAAGAAAACGTCCCGGCCGACTCAGGACTCCTAGGCGCCAGGCCCCCTCTGCCCTGGTCCCACCGAGTGACCTGGGTCTTCCCAGCCCTCCTGGGTCTCCCCGGTGGGGACGGCTGGGTCAGGTGAGCTCTGGGGGCTTCTGCCTGGCCTGGCCGCATCTCTCCAGGGATCCTTTGCATTCCCCCTGGGCGTGCAGACCTGCTGTTGATCTTGGATTCTTCTGAAGACTTGCCACTCGTCACTCCCTTCTTTAAAGCAAGTTTATCCCGGAAACCACGTGGCTTGATTTCCTCCGTGAGAGGTTCCTTCTGGTGGAGACCCGCAGACGGCAGGGCTCCTCTGGGTCATCTGCTTACATGCTCAGCTCTGCCGCTCCATCCTCCTCAGCAGGCTGGCTGGAGGCGCCTGGCTGATGGTTCCTGGGCTCTGTCCTGGTTGCGGCTGTCTATCCTACCACTGGCCCTGCCAGGGTCTGCGCCATGTGACACCCCCACCAACCTCCTGGGTCAGAGCTGAGGTCGGGTCTGGAGCCGGGTTTCATCCTCTGATCCCTTCGTCATCCCCCGACCTCGTCTCCTGCCTCTGACCATCCCCCTGCCCTCTTTCCTCTCCTGCGTTCCTGAAACCCCCCAGTCCCTGCCCACCCTTCCTGCCACTAGCAGAGCCCCGGAATCTTCACAAGGCTTCTCCTCTACCTTTTCCCCAGGAGCTGGCCCGCCTGCCTCTCTGGCCAAGGGGCTGAGGAGCCTCAGAGCTCACTGGCGTGGAGCCCTGGGCTCCCATCCCCTCCCTCGCTCGCGCCGTCCCGGGGTCTGGGGCAGCGGCTGGCACTGCTCTGGGCCTCCCTGGCTGGTCCTGTCTCTTCCTTAATTGGATTTGATGTCGAGCCTCTGCCTTGGGTCCTGAGTTACCTGGGGACAGGCAAGGTGCATCCTTTGTCCTTCTTTCTGTGCCCAGTCTTATGCGGTGGCAATGCAAGCTTTCTCCAGAGGATTTAATTTCCTGTAATAAACCTGCGTGTCTGATTCCCCCAAACGCCCAGCTGCTCGGCCCCCAGCGGTCCCCGTCTGAAGCCCGCGTTTGCTAAGAGAGAGGCCAAGCGCCCCCCACCACCCAGGCAGGTCGAGGTGTCTGATTCCAGGGCCCCCCTTTTGCACACACAGCCCGGCATCTCCCTGACCTGTCTGCTCTGGTGGACCCCGGAAATGGACGCAGGAAGATCAGGGCCCCGGCGGAACCCCTGCCTGTGTCCACTCTCCTTGGCTCTTCTCACACCAGGCTGGGGCGGGGTCTCCCCACTGCTGCTGCTACCAGTTCCCCGCCCACCGCGGTCACCGACGCCTCCTCTGCCTCGCTGGGGACGCGCTGTTCGTGTGGCCCTTAACACGTCACTCACTTTATGGGACTCGTGGGCCAGGGCGGAGGGAGGGCTTTTGTTCTTCGCTTTTTGTAATCTCCTACTGGTACCTGGGTAACTTGGGGAGGCGTGCAGGGAGGGAAGTGTGGGGGCAGGCGAAACGTCATCACAGTGACTCTTTTTGATATTCATTAGAAACAATACATCCTTTCTGAGATATTTACAGTATTATTAAAAAATGAAAAAGGTTGTACTGTTTTGCATAATGAACGTTTTTATGGGGTATTCAAAGGGTACACGATTGTCTGCTTACTCATTTTTAAAAATTAAAAGAAATGAACCAACTCTCTGTGGCTCTTCCTGGCAGAGTGGTTGTAACTCATCAGGTGATTCTCCGGGTTCTCTAACTTCTGTGATGTTCCTGCAAAACCGTCTGGGTTCCACATTTGGGGGCTGTTGTTTCAACTGAGGGGGTTATCAGTTAGAAACACCCAGGGCTGTTTCAGAAGCCCACACTGCCTTTCATGTGATCACGGTACAATGAACGTCTACCGTCTGCTAAGTGCTTTACAAGAGTCGTCTTCCTAATGCATCCACAACCCCACTTTGTTTATTCCTTCCCCCAGGTTGGCTGAGAGCTGCAAATTTTGGAAAACGGGGTTTGGTGTTCGGTGGGCTCTATCAAGCACCCGCATGTTCCCTGCGTGGACCTAGGTCTGGGGGCGCTGAGACAAGGGGAAGAGCCCTTTGTCTAAGTGTTTCTGCCCTCCCCGGTCCCTCGGGACGTGCCTGTGCCGCTCCAGACTCGGGGCGCGCAGAGGGAGAAGCGCTCTGCCTCGTCCAGTCTTCTCCGGCCAGTTGAGCTCCACGGTGCAGCCCCGAGCAAGTTTGCCCACTTGTCTGGGCCTTGGCTTCACCGTCGGTAGAGTGGTGACGAAAAGGTGACCCGGAGAAGAAATGCAGCCGGCGCGGGATTCCCCCAGAAGTCCTCTGCCTTCCTGTCTCGTACTCAGCCCCTGGCGCCCTCTCAGGCTGTGAGCACTCAAGCAAGCCCTTGGCCCGAGGGCACCTCCTGACCCCGTAGGGAGCCGAGTCAGACTCTGCTGCCAAATCCTGGCCTCCTCTGCCTCTCACTTTAGAATGAGGTCCTCTTCATGAGGGAGACGGAGGGGCCACCCAGGCACTGCCCTCAGAGCGTCAGGCTGGGTGCACGGTCAGAGCCCCGCCCCACGAGAGGCCGCAGGGCAGAGCGTGCCAGGGACGAGCGCTCGGGCAGTGCCGGGACAGGATCAGGACAGCTTGTTGAGCACCTGCTATGTTCCAGGGGTCACGCCGGCGTTACCTCGTCCGAGCCCCACAGCAGACCTCACAGGTAAGGTTTACTCATCTCGTTGCTTAATACAAGGAACTCATGTTCAGAAACTGTAAATAATTTGTCCCCCCCCCAATAAAAAAAAAATGACACCAGGGGCTTCCCAGTGGTTAAGACTCTGACCTTCCAAGGCAGGGAACGAGGGTTCAATTCCTGATCTGGGAACTAAGATCCCACAAGCTGCACAACTTTAAAAAAAAAAAAAGACACCAGATACACCTCGTGGAAAGTGGAGGAGCCGAGTAGGATCGCGGATTGCCAGGTCTGCGCGGGGCCCACCCGCCCAAGCACTTGGCCAGGGGCTGGGAACTGGAGTGGCATAGTGAGGGATGGCAAGAACTTGCCGGGCAGGGAAGCCCATTTGAGATGGGAAACGGCCTGAGCAAAGGCAGAGGCAGGAAGTAGTCTTTGGGGAAACTCAGTGAAGAAGAGGCCCTCCCCCACCAACTCTGGTTGACTGTTAGAACCCACTCGGCTCCCGCGCAGCGGCCCCTCGCGTGTCTCGGAGTGAGGGGTTGGGGTAACACCAGCATCAGTGCAGGTCCTCACACAGAACATGTGCCCCCAGGGGCTCGCTCCCGCGAGTAAGTGCCCAGCTTGCCCGAGAGTGGGGCACTGTGGGACAGGCAGTGAGTAGGTAGTGAAGACCTCCCTCGTGCTGGACACCATGCTGGCCCTCCCGTACAGATCGCCTTCCCTCAATCCCCGTGTGGGTTGGCACGGTGGTCACGTTCCACCAACGAGCACATAGGCTCAGGGAAGTCAGCTTGGCTGCCCGGGTCTCAGCACTAACCCTGGGGTGCCTGGCTGCAAGGCCCATGCGCTTCCCACAGTCCCCGTTTGGAAGGCACTGAGCGCCATCACTAGCATTGATGGGTCATTCAAGGCCATGGGGAACTGAGTGATGGCGGGAGGCCTGTCGGGGCAAGTCTGAGGGTCTTCAGGAGCCTTGAAACACCTTTGGTGATACTTGGGACCTCTGGAAGTTTTCAGAGTTTCCCAGGAATGACATCCTGCCACTGGGTTCACGGAGATGGACGAGGGGGATGTGTGGGGCCAGTGAGGCATAGAGACTAGAAGGGGCTGTTGGGATCCCTGGGCACCTGAGAGTGGGCTCGGGGGTCTTAGGGATGCAGCAGAGCTATGTGGAGCCATCAGTGGGTGATGGAGCGCTTTGGGAGTTCAGAGAGCTCCAGAGTACTGGAGGGGCCCTGCTCCTGTGTATAGGGCATCACCGGGGGAAATGGAGGGCCCCAAGGAGCAAGTCAGAGTTACTGAGCTCGTCAGGAGCCATGGGCTTCCCAGGTGGCGCTAGTGGTAAAGAGCCCAGTTGCCAATGCAGGCGATGTAAGAGACATGGGTTTGATCCCTGGGTGGGGAAGATCCCCTGGAAGGAGGTCACGGCAACCCACTCCAGTATTCTTGCCTGGAGAATGCCATGGACAGAGGAGCCTGGCAGGCTACAGTCCATGGGGTCACAAAGAGTTGAACATGACTGAAGCGACTTAGCAGGCATGCATCAGGAGCTATAAAAATATCTTGGTCATTACTGGGGGGCTCTGGAGCCATCTGGTGCTCTAGGGGGACTCTTGGGGCCGCAGTGTGGAAAGCGTGCTTCTGAAGAGCACCCTGCAGGGTGCGGCCTTGAGGAAGGGGAGGAGGGGTGCTCGGAAGCGCTTTCAGGGGTTGAGTGGGGAAACTGAAGCTGATGTGGGCCTGCCCGCCCAGCAGTGATGGGAAGCCAGCCAGACTGCAGACCACCTAAGGTGGTGGGCAAGGCGGGTCTGGGCAAAGGCCTCAGCAGGCAACTTTGACCTTGAGAGAGTGGAACAAGCTTGGCTCTCCCTAAGAGAGCCCCCCACCCCGCCCCCACCAGTGTATCAGACCAGTTCTGACCAACACTCAACTTTTCTTGTTCTCCCGTGGATTTTCTCTGCCTTTCTTTTGAGTATCTTCCCCAAGTGAGCTGTTTCTAGAATGGAAAGTCTCTCTTAGCCTGGTCTGGACAGAAGCTTGGGCCCCACTTAGCCAGGTGACTAAAAACAAGCCTGACAGAGGGTCTGGGCATGATCTGTGGATGCCTCTGGGAGGAGGCAGGTATTTTCCATCAGCCTCATAACTACCCTGAGACTGCAGTTCATACCCACTTTACAGATGTGAAAACTTAAAGTCCAAACTCAAGAGAAATGAGTGGAGGAGCTTGGCTGACATACACAGACTGAGCTGGAATTCAAAGCCAGGTTTACAAAACCCAGAGCCCCTGTTTCTTCTCTATACCAGGCAACTGTTGGGTGACCCAGGGCTCCAGCAGGACAGAATGAGCTAGGGGGCTTCCCCCACCCCTCCATCACTGCCCTCCCACCCAGAGTCCTGGGCTCAGACGGGCTCTGGTGGCAGAATCAGCCACCAGGTGGTGCTGTTGCTAAACCCAACCCCCCTCCCCATGGTCCAGGCGGTGACCAGTGAGGTCAGGACCAGAGCAGAGACTGGAATCGAGACAAGAGGGTCCTGAGGCTCCACTCTGGGTGCCCAAAAGAGGGACAAAGAGGCTTCCCGTGACAGAACAGTCACCCTTCTTATCCCAGCCCATCCAGAGCTCCTGCTTGCAGCCAGACACACCTGCCTTCAATTCTCAACAGCCCTGGGTGTGTGGCCTTAGGCGAATGACTTCACCTTTTTGACTTCAGTTTCATCACCTGTACAACTGAACAAATGGACAGAATAAGCCGCTCTGGCAGGGATGTTGAGGGTGTGTGCGTGGCACATGAAAAGAATGTGCTTTTTGTTACATGTAGCTCTGCTTAGCATGCTGGTATCAGGAGACCTGGATCCTGGTTTTGAACTCACTCCGTGCCTTGGACAGTCATTTTGCTTTCCTGGGCCTCAGTCTCTTCATCTGTAAAATGGGACTAATAACAGAAACTCTCTCTTTTGGTTATTCTAAAGATTAAATGAGATAGTGGCTATATGGCGTTTGTTTTATAGAGCTTCAAATAAGCAGGAAAGATATTAAAGATATAATAGGGATTGTGGTTAGGTGAATATGCAAATGATGATAAAATCTGAGGAATGCCAGGCAACTTCTCAGGTGCTGACATGGCACACGAGACAGACTGTGGGTTTGCTCTGACCATGTACCAGCAATTACACAGGCCCCATCACCAGGTACCTGTCTTGGTACCTGTCCCACCTCCCCCGAGTCCCCACCTTGCTTCATCTGCCCCAGGGTCCTACCCCAAACCCATTTAGACACAAAGATATAGCACAGAAATGAGAAGGCCAGATCCTGAAATGTAGATGATTATTATCTCTGGGTGATAAAGTTTGGGCTGATTTTAATTTTCATTTTCTTCTTTCTATGCCATCTAATTTTTCCTTTAACAAAGAACATCTATTGCTTTTATCTTCCAAAAAATAAAATCAATAAAGCTATTTTTAAAAATCCTCCCCTCACCACTGGGAGGCTGGTTACAAATGCAGGCCCACAGGGAATGGAAAATGATTCTCATGTGGTTGGAAGAAATGATGACAGGGAGAAGGGGGGGGATTTGCCACTGCACACGGTCCTCAACCTCAGCTCCAGCCTCTGCTGGGGCCTCTGGGCACCCCGTGAGCTGAACCTCAGGAAGGAGAAGAAGCAAAGGGGGCAGGACCCCTCCTCCAGGCCACATGACCCTCCAAACATTTGTGGACATGCCGGTGGCTTCATGCTTGTCACAGGGAACTTGTCACAGCAACCTTGTCATAGCTGCTGGAAGGGAGAAGTAAACACGCAAGCAAGGAAGCCACATTTGTTGAGGACTGACTGTGTGCTAAGTACTGCTGCCCTTGTATCTCAAGGGACCTGCCCTCCCCACACACACCCACTGAGGGAGCTGAGATCATCAGCCTAATTTACAGATGAAGAAACTAAGGTCTTTGCTTATATTTTTTTGACTGCTTTCTGAATAGCTGCTCCTGGGTGCCCATAGGG